ATAACCTCTGCTCTGCGGCTTGCAAGTACTTGAGCGTTTCTCCATCTCTGCAGCCAAAACACATGTGTTTTGTGTTGCTTCACATAAATCTCTCCGGTTATTTATCTGCATAAAGCCCTTCTATAAATTGCTCCGTGGGCCTCGACCCGCGGCGAGCAGGCGCTTTGATGTATGTCTCAATCACCAGGTGAATCAATCACTGCTGCACACACCTTGTTTGCTCCCACGCAGGGAGAAGTTCCCAGTCCCCTTTGCCAGAAAAAAAAAAAAAGAGGGCAAAAAGTCAAACGGTTTTGATGGATGGATAAATGTCTGTGGGCTGAACCTCCTGCACGGAGCTTGTTTATACGGAGAGTTACCAGCACTCCCTCCTCCTGCTGGCTGATAAAATAACACCTCCTCCATCCCTCCTTATGAAATGCGCTCCAGACCAAGAGCCTGCACATGAATATTTGCTCTCTTTGTCAGCTCCTCTGACACCACTGCATTTCCTCCTGTTGTGGCAATTCCTCTCTGTAAGGGAATAAAAACATCAGCCTTATTCTGTGGCATTAAGGCAGTATCAGTCGTGTTACAGACCCACTCCACGCAGAGGTGGATCTCACTCTTCATCATCACGGAGCAACTTTTAAGCCTTTATTCTGAGTCCTGCGAATGAATGATGTTCGTTTGGGTCAGAGTTTTGCTGAGCAGCTTTTGTTTTTTTGATGGAGAGCTGCCTCTGGATTTCACAAGGGACGTGCAGACTCATTGACAGGCAGCCAGGATTTACTGTCCTCGGGTGAACTGTGGGACACCGCCTGGATGAAGGCATCACCCTGCCTCAGTTTCCCCCCCTCCAAAAGGAAAATGAGGCAGTGCGATGGAGAAGCTAAGAGCATGTGCTGTGTGTTGACGTAGATCTGTTGGAAGTGTTGTCAGGTATCCATGATGGAGTCAGCCTGCTTACACAGTACGCTATAAGGGCAAGGAACCCTTTGTGAAATCTCTCTCACCCCTGCATGTGGCTCCTGCCCTCCTGCGACAAGTTGCTGTCTCCCGTATTACTCATATTAGCAATGTTTTCATAGCAGGGGGAGCAAAGGGATGGAGAAGTTGGAAGAGGGGAGGGGGAGCCTTAGACAGCTTGGCCAGCAGTTCAGACACCTCCTGGTGTGACAGCCCAGAGCTCACATCCACTGGCAGCTACTGAAGGAGGAGTTGGCTGGCCTTGGGAGCGGGTCACAGTCTTTATTCAGGGGTCCCAACAGCAGCTGAACTGCTGATTCCGAGAGAATATGTGTGATTGATTTCATCCCTCCTTCAGCTGTGCACAGATCAGCTGAGGCTGCTCTGGAGCGTCTCAAGGGTAATTTTTCTGCCTCTGCACTGCTCCTGGGTAGTTATCTTTGGTACCCCCTGGGCTCTGTGCTTCCTTTTGACCTGTGGTGTGGGGCTGGACTTCCCACTGTTAGAAAAAAAACGCTCTTAAAGGTGGAGCTGGGTCTTTCAAGCCCTTTATTCACCTCCCTCTTTGATCACTCCAGTCCCATGAGGGCTTCTTGTGGGGTGAGGAATTCCTCAGTGCCAGTGGGAAGAGTGGATGTGTGCTCACAGGAATCGCATCCTCCCACGGGGCCGAAATCTGTGGTCTTCACCTCCAGATCTCAGGCTACGTCTGTGTTGCAGCAAGTGACCCCAAGCCCTGCTAAGAGGCCTTGGTCACATCAAATATACTCAGTATACTCTGGGAGTGTTTCAGACTCCAGCCCAGACATGCAGGCTCTGGGGAAAAAAAGGAGATGGGTCTATTTTTAGTGTGACAGTCCCTCCAGAGTCACCGATGCCAGCTTCAGCATGATGAGTTTCTCCATGTCCTGCGGCAGGTTGACTGCTTCATGTTGGGGAGTTCCTGCATGTGTAGGCAAACATGGTGTGAGTGACACATCAGCTCATCTTTGAACATGCCTGGAGTCCCTGCAGCCATGGTATGGGAGTAGCTCACGGCAGGGGAGGCTGACCAAACCCACACTCCTGCCAGAAAGAAGGGAAACTGAGGGGGAACGGGCACATAGAGGACACATAGGGACTATGCGCAGGACTTGAGCAAAGCGCGCGAGATGAAGATGAGGACCAGCATCACCATGGAAGCCTAACAGTGAAATAAAATCCTCTCAACTCAAGCCATATATCACTGGAAGCAGCCTGTAAATGTGAATCCTGGCTGGCGGCCAAAGTGCAAATGGCAAACCTCTGTGCAGGGGAAGTGGCTTTATGTGCAGCAGGGACCACTGCTATTACACGTCCCAGAACAGGCTGTGCTGGTGCATAGGTTTTGCAGTGTTGGTTACAGGCTATTAAACCCCTCTAAGGGCATAAGTTCTCAGTCCTTTTCTGACTGCATGATACAGGCTATTAAACCCCTCTAAGGGCATAACTTCTCAGTCCTTTTCTGACTGCATCATGCAGTCTTTCCTAAAAACCTCACCAAAACACACTCAAATGGCTCATAGTTTCGCTGAGGGTATCACTTCCCCACCTGAACAGAAGCAGAGCAAGAAGGGACCCCTCCACCAAGAAAAATCAGGTTCATGTGAGGTTGTTTTGTAGGACCACAAACCAAAAAATTCCTAAATGGAAGGAAGGAGCTGTTAAAGAAGCGTCAACCTCACCAAAACACACTCAAATGGCTCATAGTTTCGCTAAGGGTATCACTTCTCCACCTGAACAGAGGCAGAGCAAGAAGGGACCCCTCCACCAAGAAAAATCAGGTTCATGTGAGGTTGTTTTGTAGGACCACAAACCAAAAAATTCCTAAATGGAAGGAAGGAGCCATTAAAGAACGTCGGTACAAAGCCTGAGGATACCTGTCCTGCTCACTCCGTGCTCCCCTCCTGGGCACCAGAGTGAGAGAAGCTCTAATGCTCCAGTGAATGACAAGTGGAGAAGACTTAAGTGACCCCAGGCTAAGGATGTCCCCAAGCAGGGGACAAGGACACTCAGGAAGGCTGATGTAGACCCACTCAGAGGATGGAGGTTGGGCAAGAGCTAAGGGAACACGGGAGGGAAGCAGGAGGTTTCAATTGTTAACATATTAATCTGTCTTTCCCAAATGGCTTCTGTTCCTCCATCACCAACACCACCCATAAATTCACGTTTATGTTAAACCCCTGGGGCTTGCTGCTCTCCAGAAAGGAAACATTGCAATCAAGGGCACTCAGACAAAGTCATGTTGTTTCTGGGTGGGAGCTCAGTGCAGTTTAATGAGAGCTCCTTAAAGCCCAATGCATTGCCCATGTCCCCAAGGGGGACCCCCACCCCAGGAGGTGCTGGTGCTGCTGAAGGTTGGGTGCTGAGGGTGCTCAGGATTACACCGTGGTGCTTGCTTTTATTCAAGCCTGAGTTTGTGGCTCTAAGTGATTCTGAAAGACTCTTGCATCTGCCTTTCATCTCTTTGCTTTTTAAGTAATTTTCTAGCTTTCAGGTCTGTACAGAAATTCAATAAATCAATGTTTTTACAACAACAAGCTGGTAAGGAAGAAAGGCACCTGGACTGTTTGCACGACCTCGGGGCTCTGAAGACCCTTTGGGGATTTCTGGAAGAGGGGGGTGCTCCAGGAGCCTGCAGTGATGCTCCTCATGAGAGGGCATGGGGATCTCCCAGGCGGTGCCCAGCCACAGCAGGATGCCCTGGCTCGGTTCTTCCCCAGCCTTGGTGTGACCTTCCCCACCGACGTGCCTCTGTTTCCCTCCCATGTCTCTCTTGAAAAGGAGGTTTTGACACACAGCTGAGTCATCAGCTGCGGAAAAGCCGCAGTTCCTTCAAACAGCCCCAGTGGTGCAGGAGGATGGGAGGAGATGTGGACACCCAAAGGCAGTGCCCGGGCTAAAAAACACCTTTTGGGGCTGCAGCGTTCAGCATTGCCCCTCGGGATGCCCTGGAAGCCCTTCTCCAGTGGAAAGTGCTCACATGGAAAATATGCTCTGCCCCCAAACCTTGCCAGCATTGCCTGCTGGAAAATCCTTTCCACCCACCACCTCATCAGTGTTCAGAAAAAAACACTACCTGAAGTTTTTTGCAAGAATTAGGGACCTGTTTCATGAGCTCAGGCATATGGCTGTCCTGGAAAATTCCCCGTGGCAGGACACTCTTGTCACCCTGGTACCATTGCAATGGCTGTGGTGACTACAGCACAGAAATACATTTCCTGAGGTTCCCAAGAAGAGAAATACACATCTCCCCTGCAAGGCTCAGCCTGGGTCTGTAGGAGCCTTGGGAATGGGTCACAGATCTCATGAGGAGAGGCTGAGGGAGCTGGGGGTGTTCAGCCTGCAGAGAAGGAGGTTGAGGGGAGACCTTCTCGCTCTCTCCAACTCCCTGAAAGGAGGGGGTAGGCAGGGGGGGTTGGTCTCTTTTCCCAAGAATAGGTGATGGGACAAGAGGAAATGGCCTCAAGTTGCACCAGGGGAGATTTAGGATGGATATTGGGAAAAATTTCTACACTGAAAGGGTTGTCAAGCCTTGGAAGAGGCTGCCCAGGGCAGTGGTGGAGTCCCCATCCCTGGAGGAATTTAAAAGATGGGCAGAGGTGGTGCTGAGGGACATGGGTCAGTGGTGGTTTTGTCAGTGTTGGGTCGGTGGTTGGGCTGGGTGATCTGAAAGGTCCCTTCCAACCTGGGCAATTCTGTGATTCTACGATCCTCACAAATGGTTAACCTGCCGGGAGCTGCACAGCACTAATGACTTCACATGCATTTAATCAGCTTGGGCTTCCAGAGCCTCCTCCTCGGGAGCAGGAAAGGCCGTGCACCCCGGGTGCAAATGCTCCCAAAGCCTCACACACACACCCCCCGCCCCCTTACCGATCCTTAGCAATCATTAATCACCGCTGGGCCGGCAACGGGAGCAAGCGGCGAGCAGGAAAAGGCCAAGCCTCGGCAGCCTCTGTGGAAAGCAGTGCTGGTCGGTTCCCCGTGGTGGCAGATCATCTTCTGACCACCCTGCCCTGGGAGGTCCCGCTGGAGGTGGCCCCGCTGGAGGCATCCTGTCCTTCACCCTTTCCTTCAGGGAGGTCACCTGGTCCTGGGCGCTGGAGGCTTTGAGGTGGGAGATCTGAAGAGGGAGCTTCTGCCCTGGTCGGCCACCGTGGTCTCCATCTCTTCACCATGGGGCAGAAGGCGCTTTGGGGTGCCCTGGAGTACACCTGCCGGTTGCTGGGCATCTCCACCGCAGCAGGTAGGAATGACTTCTCTTCTTCTTGGGCATTTAAAGGCGCTGAGCGGGTGTGAGGTCCTCTGAGCTGTGTCCCTGCCTCATCCTCCAAGGGGGACAAGGAAATTTAATCCATTTTCCTTTGGGACACAGGGAGGGAGAGTGCCGGGTGCCTGGCCAGGCTCCTTCCAGCTGCTGTGGGAGAGGGCACAGTGAGACATCCCAAAGGAAGAGCCAGCACTCGTTATGGGGGAGGACAAGCTAAAGCACAGAGGGAAAAGAAAGCTGAATTATATTCTTGCAAGAACAGACATGGGCACAAAGATGTGGATGAGACTGAAAAACAAAATACCCGTTGCTGTGCAAAAATGACCAGGCTGGATGTGAAAATGAAGGAGGAGCAGGTCGTGCTGTGGGCAGCAAGTGGTTCCTGTGCCAGGGCAGGGTGGAAATGTCCTGCCATGGTGGCACAGCCACTGCCAAAGTGCTTGCTCTGCCTCTCCAGCAACCCGTCGGGGAGCAGGGAAGAGTCTTGGGTTATAGCTGCCATACAAACATCGTAAATCCACCCAGCTGCATCCTCCCCCCTGGCTGCCAGGGGCTGCTCGGGACCAGTGTCCTCCCAGTTTGGTGACACAGCCGGGTGAAACGCAGGTGTTTTGAGCTGGGTGCCTCAGGCACAGCGTCTCACCCAGAACCGTGGTGGATAACCCTCCCGTATCGGGCATCTCGGGATGGGATGTGGGGAAACAGCGCAGGCAGAGGGCTCCGGGGTTCACCCCGGGGCTGCTGCTGACTCACTGTTACGGGACAGGGCAAGCAGCGCTCCCTGCCTCAGTTTCCCCATCAGCAGAGCAGAGATCAAAGAGCCTGACCTGCCCAAAAGCTGGAGGTGTGAACCAGAGGTTCCTGGCGAGACGTGACTTCAGTTGGTGCTTGTAGTTCCTGTGTCAGACCCCCAGGAATTTTGGACTCAGACACTCCAGAGTAGGTCACAGGGGGCCCTTCTCCCTCCTCCTTTCCTTTATCAGCTGCAGCCACGAGAGACACTTTGCTGGGGTCAGGGGCAAAGTAGAAAGCACAGAGGTCGGCCGAAGAGAGGACAGGTCCCCAAGGACACCCAAAGCCCAGCTGGGACACCGGAGGCTGCGCTCTGGAATGTGCTTAAAATGACTGATAATGGGCAGAGATCTGAGTCTCTGAGTTTGTGCAAACTCCCAGGAGATAAGTGCTCATCGTGATGAGGCTGCAAGAGATAGGAGCTGGGACACAGCTTTAACCAGCAAATGTGAATCTCTTCCTTTCCCCATCCCCATCCCCCTCGGGCCCGCAGGCTTAAAGCTCCATGGAACCTCATAGAGACCTTCCTGGGGGAAAACAGGAGCTTTTTACCATGGGAAAACTAGAGCAAAACTGAAAATAGCTTACAATTAAGTGTCTTACTGGAATATAACATCTCCCCTTCTCTCCTGCCTGTTTTCTTTTCATCACTTTGCATCATCTGCACCTCTCTCTGTAGTTCCTGAAATGAGCAGTCTCCCTGCTGAGCACCACAGAGCGTGGGGAGCTGCTCTACCCATCTCTGGGCTTTTCCACAGCTCTGATGCCCTCCCTGCACCACCCGCCTTTCCCAAAAGGCCGGTGAAGAATGGGAGGTGCCTGGTGGGTTTTATTCCTCCCCGCGTCTCAATGGGCTGAGAAAACAGCCTGGCGCAGCGTTCAGTGCCTGATGAGGTGTGTGAGGTTTCTGCATGAAATGGAAACCACGCAGAAGACAGTCCCAGGGGTTCAGTTGGAGAAAAAAAAAAAAGTATGAAAGGGAGAGGAGAGTGCATCAGCTTCACTAATTGATTCTGAGAAGGCCTGGCCAGCTCCATAAACTGCTTTGCAAACAACAGAAGGTTACCCACAGAATATAAACCCCCCCCCCTCTTTCCCTGGGATCTTGTAATGCAGTGGCTGCAATGGTGGGGCTACGGGGTTTCTTGTGTGTGAGAAATTAAGCTCCCTCCCCGTGAAGAGCAGAGCCTCATGAAGAGCCATCAAACAGCCCCACGGATCGCTGCAGTGTTTGGGGCATCTCTGTTGTTAAGAGGTTTGAGCCCTTGTGATTTCTGCATCGAGGGAGAGAGTCCTTACTTATTTCTTAATTCTCATGCTTTCAACCATTTAATTCCGAATCATGTGCCTTCAGCCACATGCTTTGGACAAGATCCAAATCAAGGCAGCCACTAGTCCAAACAAACACCTCGGAAACAGCCCTTTGCCGCTTGCGGCTTCCTCACCCAAACAGCTTTGTGGATGAAGCAGAAGCTGTGCAAGGATCAGGAAACTTCCTCATCCAGAGCAGAGGCTCAGGTGGAACAGCCGAGCTCCTGAATTCTGCCTTCATCCACCGGGAATGAACCAATTCCACATTTGTAGGGAAGATTATAAAGAAGGTTTCTCAGTCACAAGATAGCAAAGAACAATACCGTGCATGTAGCATGAGCTCACACAGCTCCACAGCCCTCTGATGGGACTGGTTGCCCTGGGCCTGATCTTCTTCCCAGTGGTGCCCAGTGACAGGACAAGTGGCAACGGGCACAAGCTGGAACATAGGAAGTTCCATCTAAACATGAGGAGGAACTTCTTTCCTGTGAGGGTGGCAGAGCCCTGGAAGAGGCTGCCCAGAGAGGTGGTGGAGTCTCCTTCTCTGGAGACATTCCAAACCCACATGGATGGGTTCCTGTCCAATTGCTCTGGGTGACCCTGCTCTGGAAGGGAGTTGGAGGAGATGATCTCCAGAGGTCCAACTCCTACAATTCTATGATTCTGTGTCTCTGCTCAGAGCTGGAGAGGCTGCCTCCATGGAGAAGGGTGGCCTGTGGGGCTCCCCAAGCTGACAGTGGCCATCAGCTGCAGGTGACACGGGGAAATCCTAGAGGGGCTTTGTTCAGCCGGGATGAGAGAGCTGTGTGCTCAGGCACAGACCCTCTGCATTGAGCCGTCGTGAGCTTGATGGACACTGGTCTGCACCCCCGTTTGGGAGCCTGGCACTCTACTCCACAGCTCAGATAAATGAAGCCAACCAGCACCTCCAGCCTTGGCCACGACTCATTGAACAGGACCAGCAGTGAACTTCCTGAGCTCCAGAGGATGGGCTGGGACCTGCTTGGTGAGATGTGGAGACATCAAGAATGGACAGGAGTGTAGTGACTGCCTAGAGCCATGCCCTGGCCATGAGACCTGGTCTCTGCATAACCCCATGCCACTGGCACTTGGGCACCATGACTTGGTCAGGGACCAAGCTTGCACCAACCAGCTTGCTGCAGCTGGTTTGAGGCACTTCAAGTTTGCACCATTTTGGAAATAGTCTTGTGGGGGAACTGAAGGATGTTGAAGGAAATTTTCCATCCCCTGAAGCTGCTGCTCCCCCAACCCCCCCAGGAAGATTTTTAGCCTCGCTAATACTCTTAATCCCCCTTAAACTGACTCCCCAGTGTGCTGTGCTGGCCGGGGCACCGAGGGGACATTCATTCCCTGCTTTTAATCTGCCTGCTCCAGTTATATGTTTTTCTGTTTGGCTAGCAAAGGATCTTGATGCCATGGCTACAGCTACAGACATTGATGAAGGCATCTGGCAGGGTTCCCCTGTCCTGCTGCTGCCCTGCAGCCATGTGTCAGATGCAGCAGGCCCGGGCAAGCTGGGAGGGCAGGGGAGAGGGACTGGTGGGTGCTGGGGGGGACCTGGACCTTGGGGGGTCCCCAAGAAAGGGAGGGGGCATAGGTGGATGGGGCAGTGGGAGGGGAGACCCTGTGGCAGCCATGCTGAAGTAGCATCCAAGGGGCAGAAGGGACATAGGGCCTTCCTGTGTCCCTGTGTACCTCCTGCTCACCTCCCCCAGCTCTCCAAGGCCAGCTGGTGTCCTCAGAGCACCTCTCCCCTGCCCACGCAGTGACAAGGCTGCGGTGACAGGCGTGCAGCTGGGATGGGTCTCTGGATTGGGAGTCAAGGCCATCACTCAGCTCAGACCCCCCTGGGTTGGTGTGTCACTGGTGGTGGCAGTCCCACTGTGCCACACAGCATGGGGGGACCCACCTCAGCAGCCCCTGGGGGAACCGGGGGCATCAATCCTGGAGGCTGGTGGGGCAACCAAGAGTTGGGGACCAACCCTGCATCTTTCAGCACCTTTCCTGCCTTCTCTTTCTAGTGCTGATCGGCGTGGGCGTGGAAACCCTGCAGCGAGGACAGTTCAAAAGCCTGGCTTTCTATCTGCTGTGAGTATTTCTTGTCCTCAGAATCAGAGCCGGTGGCGGGGGGGATGTGTGACTCATTTGACCCCTCCACCATACGTGTAGCACCAGGCTAGACTGCAGCAGTGGCAGTGTCCGAGGGTTTGAGGAGTCCAGATCTCCATCTCTAGGTTTCAGATAAATGAGCTATTTTTGTTAGAAGAAGTTGTGCTACCACATCGCTACTGCAGCCCAAGGCAGGCCAGAGGTGACACTGGCTGCAAGGTGACCCCCTGGGGGGACAGAAGGGCTTTGAGGTCTCCTCCACAAACCTCAACTGAGCAGAGCTGAGGGTGTCCAGACCCCAGCACACAGACTCTGCTGTGGACTGGCTAGTAAATCCCAGCCCTCTGTGCCCCTTCTGCCACCTGGAGAGCAAACTCAAGCCCAGCCCTGCCCCCCTGACAGCTCCACCTTTCAGTTTTTCAGGGGTTGCAGTTACTGTCTGTGAAGGCTTCTTCTTTATCAGTTTGTTCCTGGAGATGTGCTTCACGTGAGTAGACCCTGTCCAGTCTTCTCCAGCCTTGGTGGGACTTCCCTAAGGCAATTTTTCCCCCTTTACAGGCAACACCACACCAAATGCCAAAGGTATTGGTGCAGGCAAGTGCCAAACCAAAGGTCCTGTCCCTACTGCCATGGGGTAGGGACATGTGGCAAGTGCACTCAGGCAGGGGGGAGGTAACTGGGGCCATGTTCACAGCCAGTTAAATGTGTGTTTTCACCCACCTGTGCCAGAGTTTGTTGAGCATCAGCAGGATAAACCCTGGTCTGCAGCATCTGCTTAACACCCAGTATGATGTCCCACGATGGACTGGGGTTGAAGAAAGAGCCAGAGTCCCCAGAGTGAGCTGCTGCTCCCTCCCAGAGACAGCATGAAGATTTGTAAGAGGGTAGAAAATCCATATGTGCTCAGAGGCTGAGCACTCCTGCTCTCTTTCAGCATAAACTCAAAAGCCCTGACAGCTTGGAGGCAATGCCTTACTCCAGGCACTTGACTAGTTGCCAGGTGGGCAAACACACTGAGGAGAGGTGGTCTGAGATGCCAACCTCTGGTAGATGTAGCCCCCAGCCTCTTCCCCCCATGGGAGGGTTTTTCTTACCCTCAGGCTTTGCTTACCTTCCCTGACCAACACAGTGGTCTCCTGGCAAAGCCAGAGTGAGCATCCAAACCTTTACATGGGCAATTGTTAAGTCCAAACCTTCTTGCCATGCACTTGGTGCCCCATCCCACAAGGACCTCTGTTTCTCTCCCCAGATACAAGCCCGACTCCCTGGCACAGGCCTGCTGGAAGCGAGCAAGACGTCCAGGGAGCTTCCAGAAATTCCTAGGGTACACACTCCTGTCGGTGGCTTGTTTCCTGCATCCTGTCCTTGTCTGGCATGTCACCATCCCTGGTGAGGAGCCCGTGCTGGGGAATCATGCAGATGGAAGCATGGAGGGGGGCAGAGAGGGTGGGAATGTGCAGGGTGTGGATTGGTTGTGGGGACCACTGAGCCAGCTGGACCAAGATCTTGGTGAGCTCTTCACTTTGCCCCAACCCTCAACCAACATTGCCTTCTCCCCAGGGTCCATGCTGGTGCTCACTGCCCTGGCCTATTTCTTGCTGAGCAAGAGGAGGAAGAGCCCAGAGCACAAAGAGACACATCCTCAGGTGGGCCAGTATGTGGACCCTTCGGCCACCATGGCAGCCCCAACCGTCGCTGGTGACACTGAGCAGACCTACACCTTCCATGGGGCCCAGAGGGAGCAGCACCGTTCGCTGCTGGGCCACATGAAGAGCATCCTGAAGGGTAGCAAGGACAAGAGCCTGGCTCCAGCAGCTCCTGCCCAACCAGAAGCCCCACCAGCCCCACGCAAGCAAGTGCACTTCCAGGAGAAGGTGGTGCAGATCATCCCCTCGGTCAGTGAGAGCTTGGAGGACTTGGAGAGTGAGGCTGAGGAGACCACATCAGACACAACACCCATCCTCACCCCACCTGATGCCCCCGTCATCCTCGCTCCCCTCAGCTCCACAGGCCTCTTCTGAGTCCTCAGCAGGAAGAAGGACAGGGTAGACATGCTACCCCTGCTGCTGGCATCTTTCCCTGACGCTCTATCAGCTGAGGAGTCCCAAGAGGTGGCCCTCCTTGCCCCTCCTGTTTCCAGGGTGACCACTGTGTCCCTCCCTTTCCAAGGGGCTGTCCACACTACGTGGTCCCATGCCTTGTGACAGGGCCGGTGGATGTTCCCAGCCCCTGCAATACCATGGCCAGGGTGGTGGTTTGGCCAAGGTGGTGCCAGGACAGTGAGTTTTCTACTCCCATGGCCTCACGTGTGGGTCACAGCACATCACAGCATCTCCTCCTGCCTACCATCATGAGTGTGGTGTGGACTTCCCACTGGGCAGCAGCAGGCAGGAAGAGAGGAGACTTCCACATCCCCAGAGCAGCCTCCACCATGGGCAGTTGTCTCCCTCCTGCCCTCACTGCACGTGGAAGATGATGGGACACATCCAGCACAGGGCACCACAGGTTCCCTCACAACACCTGCACTGGCTGCAGCAGGCCCAGGGCATCCAAAACTTCATTTCAGAGGGGGGCTGAAACCAAGCACACCTCCCCTGGGACTCACACCCACGAAGTGCCCTCCCCGGAGACACGATCACCTCTGACTTTGGGGACACCTATGCAGGAGCAGGGAGGACCTTGGGGTTTCCTGGTTTTCCCTGCCCACACAGCCCTCTTGCATTAGAAGAGCTTTGGAATGATGTAGCAGCTCAGGTCATGAGGTTCAGCACCACATTGGCACAGCAGACCATGTGTAACTCCCTGATTTCCTTAATTATGGGCCCCAGAGAGCAAAGGCAATAATAAAGTTACAATTCTGTCCCCTCCATGCCAGCTCTTCCCTGAACCCTTCACCTCTGGCTTAATCCTACCACATATTCTTCCCTTTGAGGACCATCCACCTATAATCCGGCATTATTCTCCTGCTCAACTCATCCCCTTGGCACTCTCCCACCTGAGGACTAAGACTCTCTGCTTCCAGCTGGCAAATGTTGTCTGTGCCTGCAGATACCACCACCAAGACCTTCATCATCGGCGTCAGGCCCCTCTTTGGGCTGCACAAGGGAAAGAGCTCGGGTGGCTGGGTGTTCTTGGACATGGCACATGAGGCCACACTGTCACCACTGCTGGGTTGAAGAGGTGTCACCGCTCTGAGCCCAGACACACAGCACTGGGGTGAGGTGGTGGGAAGGAGAGAAGACTCCTGAAACCTCCTTAGACTATTTATAAAGTGGAAGCCAGTGGGGCTGGCTGTTTTTCTTGGAAATACATTATTTCTTCTTTTTAAAATCTCAGCTCTCTGAGTCACAATTGTAGAGTCATAGAATGGTTAGAGTTGGAAGGGACCTTAAAGATGATTGAGTTCCAAACCCCCTGCCCTGGGCAGGGACACCTCCCACCAGATCAGGTTGCTCGATCACCTTGTTCATAGGTTGCAGAGCGAAAATGTGAAGTGTAAGTGTTCACAAATCAGAAGGCAATTGAGATAAGAACCCGATGCTACTTTTTAATCAACTCTTACTAAGTGACTCCCTAGTTTGGGAGATAGATGGGGATGATATTGACTCTCGGTATTTGCCTGTGTTTGATAATGAAGCTGGCCACAAGAGAAGCTTCTGAATGGTTGCACACACTTGTCATTCCTACACCAAAAAAGCTTTTTGTTGCACCACCGACATTTAAAATGATAGCTGGTACCAAGCTGCTCTAAAGATGATACAGGGATTATAGACCTCCTCCTTCTGGCTGCACAGATTAACCTTCCACCCCATAAATGCCTGCTGGGGGAGAGTCACGTACACACCTGCCTTTAGGGAGGTTTTGCACCTGCAAAAAATGCCTCCAGAAAATTGTGGCCCCTTTTTACAGCCTGGCACTGCTTGACTGAGAGCCCCAAGCCCAGGGTCTGGCCACAGCTCCACCCTCAAGCCGGTGTATTCATCACGTTAAGAAATAAAAATAAAGCTATTTTCTTCTAAATAAGAATAAAGCTATTTTCTTCAAAAGGCTGTGCTCAGAGCTGGCTCCTCAGCTCCATCATGCATCTGCTCTGCTATTAGACCTGCCCTCATTAGCCAGCTCAGCTTCCTGCATCATTCAGGGCTCTTCTTTGAACTTTGCATAATTAATTACACACAGAGAGAGATAAGGCTTGTTGAAAAGGCACCGCTCCCAATAGATCAAGGAGATCTGCTGAGGAGAGAAAGACCACATTTCTGCGGCCTCCTCTCTAGCCCTGAGCCAGGCTCCAGGGTCAGGGACAGCTGCTTTGTGATGAGTGTGCTCCTTCAGCCCTTGGTCAATCAGCCCCAGATTTGGTACTGGTGGGGCAGCAGAGCAAGGGGAGAAGCAAAGCAGTTTGATGAGCGTGGTCCTTTCAGCCCTTGGTCAATCAGCCCCAGATTTGGTACTGGTGGGGCAGCAGGGTAAGAGAAGCAATGCAGCTGTGTGTGGAGAGCAAATTTCATTGCTCTGTGAAATGTGTAAAATGAGTTTTTAATAGCTAGAGTCTGCAGAATTAGGTATTTCAGTTTTTAGGCTCATTTTTTGAAGTCTGTTGAAGGTTTCTCCAGGGAAGCCAGATGAAGGGCAGCTACAGGTGAGGTGGTTTCTCAGCCTTCCCAGAGACAGAGCTGCACCTGGTGGCTTTTCTTGCCTACTCCCTTGTGTTGGCCCAGCTCTTCTCCATCCTCACAGCCAGCTGGCTCAGGAGACAAAGTCTGGGAAAGAGCTGCTCGTCTTTTCTGTGCTATTAAATTGTCTGTCCAGTCAAGGTCCACAGCCGGCTCACCCGGTGCCAGGAAAGTGCTGGGACCACAGAGCTGGGGGCTGGATGCTCCAGAGGCAGCCAAGCTGCACCCCAAACATCAGCAAACGGGTCCTGTCCCCCCATGGGGGCTGAGCTGCTCCCCACCCCACCAAGGACTCTGTTGTACATCCCTGCTCTGCTCTTGGCCACCCACCCCACCCCTGGTGCTCTCTGCCAGCTCCATCGGCAGGCAGAGCTCGTTAGCTCAAAGGGAAAATTATAATAATTAGGAGAAAGAAAAGGGGTGACTTTCTTCTGGGATAATGAGCCAAATAAATTCATGGAAAGAAGGTCCAGATACAGGGGGTAAAAGCACCCCTTTCGGAGGGAGCACAACCGCTTAAAGAAATTCACCCTCGAGCTTTCTTTAAAATCCCAGTGCAAAGGAAATCTTCAGCTCAGGAGGTGTCAGAGGGCTTCACAGAGGGCTCAGAGATTATTTGCCCAAGTTTGCTCTTTTGTGTTGGCCCCTGTCCCTACATTTAGCTGTGAGGGGCTGCTGGAAGCACCAGAGATGCTGTAGAGAGCTGTTGGGGGGGCTATATATGAAAACTCTCATATATGGGGGGTAATTCCAGGAAAAGGAAAAGAGGAAGAACTCGGCACTATTAGCTGTGCAGAGGTAGCTGACTGTGAGCTGCCTGAGCTGTAAGTCCCCGCAGCACCACACAAACACTGCTGGATGATTTTTGCTTGCGTTACAGCTAATTCATGACACAGCTAATCCGCTGAGATTGAGCCACCGAGCTGGAGCTGAATGTATAAAGCTATAAACTCCTACAGACTCTCATACTGAAAGGAAGCAAGCTGACTCATCCGAGAGAAGGACACTGTGTGAGGTGAAGCTCTGTGAGGTAATCCTGGCAGAAGGAGCTTTCTTCAAACTTTCCACCAAAGGGTTCCCTGCAGGAGGAAAATAAAATTTGCCTGCTTTGCATGTAGATACGGATTGGGAATGCTCTGCAGTGCTGTGACACTGTCATGGGCAGCTCCTTATTCGATATTAAGTCACGTCCACATGCAGAAGAAGACCTGTCTCCACTCGATGACAAACTCCATGTGCTCACACACCTGCAACCCTACCGCTCCTCAGCCCCGCGCCCTCTCCCAGCCCATTCTGGAGCTTCTCCCATGCCCTGGACCAGAAATGCAGGTTCTGTTTTGGCCGGACTCCTGCATTTCATGCTGTGCAAGGAGTTACAGGAACCAGCAATCAGATCCCAGCCCTGCCTGGGGTTCCTCGGAGCTGTCAGCTCCCTTGTCGTCTCGGCACAGCCTGAGAAAAAGCAGGAATCTGTCTTCCAGCTGCCAAATAGCAGCTTGGTGAGACGACTGCACTTAGGTTATATCCTAGTGAATGATTAAGGTACCTTCAGGAAACTAATTCCAGGCACTTATTCACTCAGCATGTGACTTTATGGAACCCGGTTTGGAGGTTCTATGCAAAATACCAGGAACTTGATTTCCCAAGCAAGGTCTTTGGATCACACATAATGAAGGGAACCTGTACCTGAGACAGAAAAAAAAAAAAAAAAAAAAAAAAAAAAAAAAAGGGGGGAGGGAAAGAAAAAAATAAAAAGAAAAGGAAAAGAAGAGTAATGTTTCCTGACAGCTCTTCCTCAACCCCTCTTATACCTATAGGGGACTATACAGCACAGGACGAAGTTGTAAACAGCATTTTAGCACTAATCCCCATCCCACTCCCATCTCTTCCTTCTGCCCAACCTCTCCTTCACCCCAACCTTTTCCACCCCAGAGCCAGCATCATCCAGAAGAGCTATTTAAAAAGAAATATCAGTCCCTGCTAAACAAAGCTATACCTCCTGTGACCTGTGCTTGAGCTCCTCGCGCTCGCCGCTGCCCTTTTAGGTGAGGCTTTCAACACAGCAGAGAGAGGCAACACCTCGCCCAGAGGTGCCTAGAAGGAAAGAAGGCAGCATCCACGGGAGGCAAACCTGCAAAAAGAGCAGCCCTAACAACCTTATTCAGTTTTTCTGCTGTTTTTTGGGGCAAAACTCAACCTTCCAGCTCTGGAGGCCTGCTGACGGGCTACAGATTTTGCACCATAAAAAAGCAAGTTTGATTGTTTGTTTTTTTTTTCTGTAATGTGCTGGATGGTATTACTTCCTTCAATAGCAGGAGAAAAGAGAAGTACACAAAAAGAGCTTCACTGTGCACAAAACTGAGCTGAAGCAGCTCATCTACATTGGTTACTCTCTCAACCACCCTCAAGGAGAATTCTTGGGGGGTTGGGGACTTTTGGTATGGTGACATTACTTTCGGATTTGATACAGTAGCACTACGTTTCTCCATTCCAAGGTGGGAAAACTCTGTCCATGTTCTTGGTTCCCTCTTTCCCTGTTGTGCCTGTTGAGGAGACAGTCCCCAGCATGGGAGCAAGCCGGCCTCCAAGCCTGGGCAGAGGAAGGGGCCACATCTCATTTGATGTCACCCTGTGGAGATACGTCCCCTCTTCGTGTGCTCTGGAAGATGGAGGCTGCCAAAGAAGGTGCAGGTGAATTACAACGCTCGGATCCTCTCCGTGCTCCCAGATCTGGTGGGCAAAACACGGCATGGAAGCTTCACCTGAAAGGTTCTTGAGGGGAAGGGCTTGAGAAGGGAATTACATCTTTTAACCCCAATTTCCCCTGAAAACCCCAGGCCCAGGCATTAAAGAGAATCCTATCTTATTCCTCTCAAATTATTTATTATTCCCCCTCAGCATCTGTTTCTCATGCAGGCATCTGCAGGCTCGGAGACATCACCAGCTGCATAAATGGAAGTCAAAGCATCTTCTCCAGCAGAAGGCATGTTGTGTGTTTCACATGGGGACTGCACGCAGCCACAGTGTAAAAATATGACAATCTTACTGTCAACATCTCTCACGTGGAAGTGCCATAAGAAGGAAATTGCAAACAAATTCCTGCTGACTGGTTTGGAAATGGAGAAGGCTCTGCTGTTGTCGTTACTTCTCCTGGCTCTTATCCAGTACCAAACTAATCCACTTATGCTATAATTATTTTTTCAACCCCATGCTAGCTTGTTTTATGATTTCTTCGCTTCCAACTGGTAGTCACAGGCACAAACATCCCCTCATTCAAGCTGATTCCTTTTAAATCACAACTCCAAACAAAAGCACAAGATAGTCCCTCTGCTCATGTATTTATCAGATAGTTATAAATACAAATTATCTTTAGTTTTCGTAACCTGACATTATTCATAAGGTTGCTGTTACTCCACTGTAATCAAGTTTTGCAGAGCTTTCAAGTAACAGTAATTAAAAATTACAAGACAAATCATATTTCTGAAAACATTCATTTCTTTTGGCAGTCTCGATGTTTTTTAATGCTGTAGTTACCAAGATGAAAGATATAGTGTACCTGCATGGGATAGCTGCTAAGTTGCACTGAAGCCAAGTAGTATTTCTGTTTGACTATACTGTGGTTTAGATTTCATTTGATCTATCTAATTATGTTCAAAATCTGATTTATTCAAACCAGTCATAAGAAGATTCTGAGTTCACGAGTCCATAAATTTACTCTGCCTTGGATGAATCACTCGCAAATGGACAAGTAGCAGTCAGGGGACTGCTTCCTGGGCTACAGCTCAGAAACCACATCTACTATACATGCCTGGCTTTCGG